GGTTCCGAAAAGGTGAAAAACTGGAAAACGAAATTTTGCCAAACCTCTGGTTTCAAGATCAAAAATATAAACGGGACGGAGCAGAAAGAGACTACCCCCGAAAACTGTATGAACCTTCGACTTCAGTTTTATGAAGATTTTTGCAATTTCTTCCGAGATCAAGAAATGGTTGGGACTCTTGAAAGCACTATGAAACCTCAACTTCTGCCAAGAATAACGGGAGTACAATGCAAATTCTTAGTTTAACTTGAGAGATTCGACAAACAGTTCTGCTTAAGAGCCTAAATATTCTTGCCACAATGAGCATACCTGAATGACAAGCAAAGCTTTTTTGGAATCATCTTCTTTATACACCGGTGGATGATACCTATAAGATACATATAATCGTTCACTTAGGAGTTTTTTCGAAAAATAATAAAAACCACCTTTTGTTTTCTGGAGCACTAATGAGTATGTAAAATGCAGGCACGAGAAGAATCAGAGGTACGCCCATAGCAATATGCCATGATGACGAATTTCCGAATATCTCTTCCAGGGAGATAACCATGCCAGCCAGTTCACCCAAACAAGCCCATACTGTCTGTAAATACATTCCTTGAATACCAGTAGTTAGAGTTGAGCAAATTATATTACAAGTGTGGCCAAAGCGAGACCACGGCCATGGTTGGGTGGCAGTTCAGCTAACATCACGGTACCAGCTGTCTGAAACAAGTTCACATGCCAGCTGAATCTATATGATGTTTGAGCACCTGACCTGCACAATACCTTGTCCACATCCATTTATAAATCGACCAACGGTGGCTGCTACCATCCCCAGTCTGATATGTACAGTGAGAAGTGTAAGAAGTATTCCGACTAAGTCAAGAGCGGTACCTGAAAGATGAAGCGACAAATTTGAAATGAATTTGAGAGTAGGAAGCACTTTCTTATGTAATGACCGCAGTAATCAGAGCCAAACTTCTGAAGAAAAAGGAATTGCCAAATGCTCGCAGCTTCTTACTCAAGTTCTATGAAGCATCAAATAGCACTCCCAATTCAGTTTCGATTTCTTCTATGCCGCAAATTCAGTATGTTTTATGTGCACATAAAATGGGAAGAAGAATAAATTGGTGCTTGTCCTTGATAAATTTACTAGTCAAAATGCTTTCGTATCGTCTATTTCTCTCCTAGTTATCCCAAGTGATCCATATATCAATTGAGGATCCAGATGAGATGGGGTTCGTTTGAAGAAAAACTTCTGTATTACCTCAGGTGTCTTTAGCTTTGCAACTAAGAATATGATGTTTAAAATTCTTTTTCTCTTGAGCCTTAGTATTTGTCTTAAGCTTAGATACATTGTTACGAATACAATTCAGCCAGGAATAGAGTCGTGAAGCATTTGAAAAAAATGAACAGAAAAAGGCATTCTGCTGGGAATCACTGAGCACTAGACTGCAAAATTTTGGTTGATGAAATTTTTCGAGTCGTACCTTTGAAAATCTGACGAAAATTCCGAAAAATTCATCTTAGGCCTTACTAGTAGCCCCTTGCTTATTCGCATTTTACCTGGGAGTTCCCTGGTCCCAATTATTTGAATTAGTTCACTATAGCTAGTCCATCTGTACAATGACAGCGAATTTCTCTACACCAGATAACGTCAACATAAATTTCTCTTGATTGAGGATGCCGTTCCCAAGAGACCGTTTTGCATTGGAAGTTTATATTGTCCGGTTTTTGGACATTTTGGCTACACCATATGCCTCGAACAAGAAAAGCGCATCAACATTTATAGCGATCTTCGCACAATTTTGAATCTGTTACTCGTTCTTCTTCGGGAGTTGTTGTATGTATGAGAAAAACGAACCAACCTAAGACAACTGGATATTTCCGGCCATGTAGCTTGGAGAAATATATGGAAATGAAACAACCAAATGCAAGCCCATAAATTCGTGATGATACCATGACCTCCCATGCAATATCAGCTGCAAAATGTACAAGTATGAAATTGAGGTGAAAATTCCAAAAGCGCTCCCCTCACCCTCTTCTTTGTTCTTATATACCTTCATGAGGAAAGGCCGCGCAGCTGGCAGCAAATTGTCCATCACACTATCGAGATAGAGCTGAAATCTCAATAAACCGCTTCCTATAATGCCACAACTTACTGAAGCAAATTTGGTCTTGACATCTTTCAAATTGCACTTAGGAATGTAAACCTCGATAATTTATTTTCACCTTGGATTTACCATTTGGAGAGAATGATCTATTTGAAAACGTTCCCCGGTAAGCTGCGAAACTTTCATATCTGCGACAAGACAATAGAAATTGCAGATTTTTGCGCGCAATTTTGGTCTACTGTCCGCTTTCCGAAGAGTAATCAAGTCATCACTGGAATAGCTCAAAGTAGCTCGGCGCAAAGCTATGTGTACCAGCGAATTCAGGATATATTGCATTGCTTTTCAAGGAATGCAGAATTTGACTATATATCGCAAACGGTTGATAATAAAAGTCATATTTGTGACTAATTTTATGGGTTTCCCAAATGCTTACTGTAACTATCTACAGAAAATGAACGAAGAACCATCAAAACAATTAAGTGACTAATTCTTTTTGTAATATAATGAACTCCTATGTAGCGGTAAAGCTTGGCAGTTTTGGTCCAAGTTTGAGTGATTTTTTCATGATGGCAGAGTCGGTTCTATCTCGAGCGTAGACTAAGCTAGCCAGCAAGCTACATTTCTCAATTAAGCTGTCAGTTTTGTTTTCTGATTTATGATTTTTGCTCCACAAATTCACAATCTTCTCAAACATTCTTTTTGACGCTGGATTTCAAGGAGAATTAGCATGTACGTTCACTTGTAATTATGGCAATTACTGCATAAATTCCCACAGACATTCAAAGGGCAAGCTACGTGTACTGAGCAACAGCGGCAAAATATGGAAACATCGATACAATTTTTATTTTCTAACATGGAAATCTATAAAAGTTGAATTTGCCCGGTTAATCATTCCGCCTATGAGTTCCAAAACCGAACTGAATGCTCCAGAATATAAATTTCTTAGGCCACTGCTCAGTGAATTTATCAAAACATAAAAATTGCGACTGTCGACTAGACTTTCAGGCTTGCGGAATCATTTCTTTTACACTTTCTATTTTTTTGGAATTTTCCAGAACCTTCCAAGAAATCTCCTGCAAGAAGGTTAGAGGATATGAGAGTCAGTTACCCGCATAACCATTACCGCAAATGCATGTATCCCAACAAGTTACGAAGTTTTGTAAACGTACAAATAATCCATTTTTCGAAATATTTCTCACAGCTTTTTTTACTAATTTTTCAATTCGTATTGTCTTCCCTACAGTATGATGAGTACAGTTGTAGCGGTGAAATCCGGACAAAGTTGCGGGATTTGCGGGATTTAGTTATATTCCTGAAACAATTTTATTTGGGATCTGCAAGAAGATTTGGCTTCAGCTTGATGAGACAAATC